GGAGGGGCAGTTTCCGTCAAGAGGTTGTGCAAGGTCACACAGCTAAGGGAGCCAAGGCAGGCTTGCATTACCAGGAAGTAGGGAAGAACTGGGATTGTGATGCCTTCTGCTACCTTCGTGGGTGGGGGAGAAGATGGCTCCAGTGGAAGAGATGCTGTACTGTCAGGTCATGGAAAATCAGCTCCGTAGGTGGGTGTCAGAAGCACGGGGTGCTTAGTAGGTAGCTTCCTTCATTCCATCCTGGAGCTGTGGTTCTCTACTGCAAGGAGGAGGTAACCCTGTCCTTCCCAGGGGACATTTGGCAATGTTTGGACACGGTGTTGCATTTAGAGCTGGGAGAAGCAAGGTGCTATTGGCATTTAGTGGGGAGAGGCCAAGGAAGCTGCTCAACACTTTACAGCCCAGAGGACAGGCCCCTAGGGCAAGAAAGGATCAGCCCAGAGGTCAGTAGTGCTGAGGCCAAGACACCTGGCCTAATAGGCGGATCATTTCCAGGTGATTCTCTTGCGCTTCGTAGTCTGAGGATGGTGTCTTGCAGGACTATCCCAGCTGGAAAGGAGAACTCTGGTCATCTTTTCACACAAAGTTCTAATGCGGCAGAGAAGTGAGTTGTTTAATATCCCAGAGCTGTATAGAGACACAGGTTAAAATCCCCAAGATCAGAGGCGGGCAGGTGGTATGGTGCTTGAGGTGCTGGACTTCCACATGGCCAACTGTGGTTCGAGTCCCAGACCTGGTGGCTTGCTTTCTTTCTTTCCTTTTTCTATCTGCTTCTTTCTGAAAATAAATAATTTTTTTGGGGGGGGGCATTTTCACTATAGGGTGCATGCGCTCACTAGACAGAGAGAGACAGAGAGACAGAAAGCGAGAAATCACCCCCGAGAGGGGATGGTCACGCCGCAATCCCTTCTCCTCCATTCTCCTCTTGGGATCTTGGGCACGCACACACACACGCTCGGCGTGAGTTTTAAGCCACCAGGTCCGGGACGTGAACCGCAGTGGACTACGTGGGAGCACAGCAACATAGCCATTACGCTAACTGCTGGTTCTCTGAAAATAAATAATTTTTTTAAAAAAGAAAACACCCAGTTTCTTGGCTGGGTCTCTACTATTTCTGTGATTTATTTATTTATTTTTTTTTTTGGAGAGATTTTTGCTGTAGGGCACGTGTGCTTGCTCAAGAGACAGACAGAGGTGAGAAGTCATCCCCTGGGGGGGATGGCCGCACTGAGATCCCTTCTCCTCCTGAGATCTTGGGCACATACACGTGCCTGGTGTGAGTTTGAAGCCACTGGGTCTGGGACTTGAACCATGATCAGCCATGTGGGAGTCCAGTGATGTAACTACTGCACCATTCGCTGGCCCCTGTTTCTGTGGCTTTTTATGCTTGGCTGTGTACTGTATTCTTTGATTTTTATTCATGACTATCGTTCAGAGTAATAAATGGTCCCTTTGTGGGACACTCTTAGTAGGAGATTTCCATTCTGAGTTGATATTTTTCCCCTCTCATTTCGCCAGCTAATTATTTTATACATTTAATTTTTTTTCCCCTCACTGACAAGATTGTTAACATTTTTCTTTAAATGTGTTTATTACTTCAGTGAGCCAGAGGAAGAGAAGAGAGTGCACATGAGTACATGTTGCATATGCATACTTCCCCAACAGGGTCCCAATACTGCAATCCATTCCAGCCTAAAGTCAATCCTGGATCATGGGCCAGGTGTGTATTAGCATACTCAGGGAGAGCTTGGACTTGAACCAGGTATCTTCCCATGTGGGATCATGTAACAGGGTGTCGTGTTTTACCGCTGTGCCACCATCTGGTCTCAAGGTTTTAGATTCTCGATAGCAGTGATTATTCCTTATGGTTTGTTTCTGCTCAGCACAGCAGTCAGCATATGGTAATGAGCAGTTAGTTGTGGATGGCATCAATTACAATGTGAGTTACGCTGTGGAGCTGACTCATTTATAGAGTATCTGTGAACCAGCCTTTTATACCTAGCTATAAATCCCGTTCCCAATCTTTAAGGGCTAATAGTTAGCGTGTTGGTTGCCTGCAGCCGAAAGGAAGCCTTGACTTTACTAGCTAATGGTATAAATTGAAACAGGAGTTACACTATGGTGTGGACCCATTTATCAAGACTCTGTGGACCAGCCTTTTATACCTAGCTATAAATCCCGTTCCCCGTGTTTAGGGGCTGATGATTGCTGTGTTGATACTCAGTTGTGTGCAGTGCAAAGAAAGCTTTGCCATTACTAGGGGAAAGTTGGTGTGTCATTTGACAGCATCTTAGTTTGTTCTACACTGGAGGTGTTTTATTTTGGTAATGGAAATGTTGGAGGTATGGAAAAAAATTTGAGAATTACTTGCTGATAGGACAACCAAGACACAGTGCTGTGAATGAAAACTTTTGTGTTCCTGACCTGCATTGCACCCAGCAGGCAAACACACATTTCCTTTTAGAGAGCCAGTCGGGTTGGGGAAGCCCTTGCTGGGGAAGTGAGAAGTGCCCTAGAGTTTGCTGGGATCAGATCAGCCAAGTGGCATCTCTGGGATATACCAGCAAGTTATAGAAATAGCTATTATTTTAAAAAAAGTTAAAAGTTATTTATTCGTGGTTTAGTGGTGACTCATTGAAATGGTTCCCCTTGTGTATACTTCCAGTCCAGTCATTGTGTGACTGGAACTTTCTTTCTTCCTGATCTCCTGTGGGGGAAGGACATTGAGTGGACTGTGGGGTGCAGGGAGCAGGCAGAACCTTCTTCCATTGTTCTTGTTAACTTTCCTCTCCTGCCTATTAAGATGCTAAGTTGGTGAGTCTGACAAGCAGATGACCCAGAAATTCCCATGTAGTAAAAGGAGATGAAAATAGCAGTATATGAACTAAATTAGAAGGACGACTTGGCTTCATTAAAAAAAAAAGAAGAAAAGAAAAAAAAAAAACCGAGAAAGCCACATCTTGCATATTTTAACTGCTGCTTTGCCAAGGGCCAGCCTAACCATTTCAGATGCCATTATGCATCCTACCAATCTGGGTAATTTCTTGCCCTATTTTGCCTGGAAGGAAATTTACATTAAAATGATCTGGCCTCTTCAGAATCAATATGTAGCAGTTAGAAAACCAAAGTCAGGGGGCCCCAAGCAGGTGGTGTCATGGTTAAGGGCACTGGACTTCCACACGGCCGACCTTGGTTCAAGTCCCAGAGCTGGTGGCTTACTCTGTCTCTCTCTTTTTCTCTGAGACCCTTTCTGGTCAGATTGAAATGAATAAATAAATAAGGTTAGATAAAAGAATTCTTTTTCAAATAACAGTCAGTTTGGGGGAAAGGAATGAGCCCTCACGGAAGCCTGTGTGACCTTAAAGGGCTTAGAAAAGAACTTAGGCTGAATGACAAGCAACTTAGGAGGAAATGAAATTTCTCTTTACAGTTTGCCTGCCCGTATCAAGACAGTTTGACAGTGAACTCATGCCACAGCAGAAGGTTTATGTCATCAGAGGCAGAGGGTGGAGTGTTGTAGAGATTGTGTTTAAGGGTGTAACTGTGAGAGAGGGGGTGGGAAGAGACTGGCGGGATGGAGCATCTGGAGTGGCAGGTAGGTGTTAGAAGACACGCTTTTGCGGACGTGTGATGACATTGGCGTTGGGCTGGGTTTCTGACCTGCTGTGGACATCGGCGTAGCATTTTCCCAGGACTCGGTGTGACTCGGAGTGATTGTGAGAGAGATCCCTCTGGCCATTTACAAATCTCCACCATCCTTAATAGGTTCTCAATTCCGGGGGACCAGCAGTTAGCGTAATGGCTATGTCGCTGGACTCCCATGTAGTCGACCGCGGTTCGAGTCCCGGACCCTGTAGATTAAACTCATGCCGGGCACGTGTGCGTGCATGCCCAAGATCCCGCAAGGAGTATGGAAGAGAAGGGATTGCGGCGTGGCCATCCCCCCTGGGGAGTGATTTCTCGCTTTCTGTCTCTCTGTCTCTCTCTCTCTGTCTGGCGAGCACACGCGCCCTATAGCAAAAACCTCTCCAAAAAAGGAAAAAAAGAATCTCAATTCCACTTTCCAGAATACTTCCTAGACATGTTGTACACTCAGTGGAGGTGATGTTTGCCCACTTGCTTCACGGAGTCTTAAGGAACTAGGAACGGGCATTGTCGGTTAAGCCGTTTCCAAGTCCCTCTGAAGCTTTTCTCATTTATGAGTGGGGAGAGGACCATGGTTTTCCTGCCGACTCCTCCAGGCCGAATGTTTTTAGATCTGAGAGGCTGTGTGCACTCACTAGAGAGAGACAGATGAGGAACAGAGCACCCCCAACGGGACATGGTCACGGAGCAATCCCTTCTCCGTTTCTCCATCCTTTGGGGATTGGGGGCACATCCATCCAATGCCTGATGTGTCTCTCAAGCCCCTGGGTCTGGGACTCAAACCTTGTGGTCAGCCATGTGGGCGTTGACTCCTCTAACCACCAGGCCACAGGACCAACCCAGAGTGTAACTTCTTGTAGGAACCTGCCCTAATGGTCCAGCTGGACAGCGCGGATAATAGGAAAGGAAGACCTTCGGGGATTTGTCGATTCTCCCATTTGAATTGGAGTTATTTGAGCTCGATTTGAGTTCCTGATCTCCTCGGTGATTTACTGGATTAAATCAAAGACAACCCATGTCATTGCAGAATTTTTATTTATTTTTGTCCAGTGGACAGCCTGGAGTTTCCCTGGAAAGAGCCCTGGAAGGGAGCCGAATTACTGAGTTTAGTCCTACAACTGTCACTAACCACCCATGTGACAGACACGTGGCCCCTTGTGTCAGCTGAGAGTGTGCGCCAGGCATTCTTGGAGGCTGTTCCAGCCTCTAGTTTGAACTGAGGGACTGACATGGGATCATTCTGCCCTGGGAGTGGTTAAAGCTGTGTATAGCACAACCCAGTGGCTAGAACACTGTCTTGGGGATTGTCCCTAGGCACCTCATAGCGAATGTTCTATGGTTATTCTATTCACCAGAGCCTACGGTGACCAAACCGCGTGAACCGGAAGCAAGAAAGGCCTCCCTTCAAGCAAATTCCATTCTGCGGGGTTCTTCCAAGAGGTATGAAAGCAGTCGTTGGTTATCTAGCCACAGGATCTGACATATTTTAGAGTCATGGGTAGAGTCTATCAGAGAATCAAGTTTCAAACGCTTAGTGAAAATAAAACCAAAGGATTTGTTGTTGACCTTGGTCTCATTATCTACGTTTGGACGATACACACGCTGCACCGTGGTGGCAGCGTATATGTGGAGGGCTTTTGTTTCTTCAATTCCTGTAAAACCCATGGGAAACCAGCTCCTAGACTCTGCAACTTAAAGTTATTTTTTGCATTCGCTATGTAGATAGCTTATACATCTGCATTGGAACTTGGTAACCTCTTATGAATTTGGTATCTTTTGAAAATTCCTGCCTGATGGAATCATAAGGTGGCATGGTAGTTAAGGCACTAGATTCCCACATGGCTGACCTTGGTTCAAGTCCTAGACCTGGTGGCCTGCTTTCTCATTTTCCCTTTGTTTTTCTCTTTGTCTCTCTCTATTCAAATTACAATAGTAGTAATAACAATAACAAGAACAACAACAACAAATAAAATAAGTCATTCATGGGGACCAGCAGGTGGTGTGGTGGTTAAGGCACTGGACATTCCCACATGGCTGTCCATGGTTCAAGTCCTGGACCTGGTGGCTTGCTTTCTCACTGTCTCTCTCTCTCTGTCTGTCTGTCTCTGTCTCTCTCTGGTCAAAATAAGTGAAGTAAATCAATTAATAAAATTAAAAATAAATAATTCCTGTCTGATATACTAGACCCTATGTGAGTTGGGTAGAGTGAACTTGAAAGCAGATGTGCTAAGCAATTAGGTTCACTCCTCAGGTCATTCAGGTTCAAGGCTAAGGTCACTCACCTTACAAAAGCAGTTTGTGTTGCAAGTCCTTGCGTTTTTTCGCGTTTGCTTTCTTGGAAATGTTTCTGCATCTGTTCTTCCAGGAGCTGTAAAACAGGAAGGAGGAGTTAACGCACTGTGTTTCGCAACCAACGTTTGCTTCTGGCCCCGAATACTACAGGTTTCCCATTCATTCACCGCTTGACAGTGGAGACGCCAAACCAAGTGTCTCTCGTAGATGGTCTCAGAGATGAGCGGCTGCAGAAATTGGAGGGGTAGTAGGGCCTGGCGTGGCCCTTGGGCTTGAAGACAGCAGTGACAGAGGGTCGGGATCCCTCTCTGCCTCGTGTCCCCTCTCATTCTGTCTTTGCTCGGGCTTTTGCTGTCCCCAGCTGCCCTGGATGTCTCGTTGGCCCACATTCTCCTATTTGATACCAGGGCAGTGGCAGAGGCCGCTCTGTGATAGTGTCGTTGGTCATTGACTGCGTACCCCTAAGTTAGTGAGGAGAGGCCGGAATCATAAAGGAGTGGAGAAATCGGAAAGACAGAGACGTGCAAGTGGCATGTCACTCAGGGATGTCTGTAGAATATGGAGTATGAACACCATGTTTTATTCTTGCCAGAGGGCAGGTACGTTCTCCAGGCAGAGACAGAAGGGGAGGAGAAGACACCTGCCGTGGGGAATGGTCCCCCACCACAGTCCCTCCTCTACTGTTCCGTCCATTTGGGAGTATACGTGTGCCCAGCATATATTTCCAGCTGGGTCTGGGACTTGAACCACACACTCAGCCATGTGGGATCCAGCTGCCTTACCCACCAGGCCATGCAAGTGGCCTAGCAAGAGAGTTTTAGATGATTTTTTTCTTTGAGGTCAAGTGGAGATTACAATTTTTAAAATGATTACTATGTGTTAAGAGTTTGCTATAGGGCGCATACACTCACCAGGGAGAGAGAGGGAGAGGAGGCACAAGTCAGAAAAGAAGCTGCTAGGGGTGGGACTCAAACCACGGTTGGCTCTGTGGGAGTCCCATGCCTCCACTACTACACCATCTGCTGGCCCCTGTTATGAAAATTGTTGTTCCTTTTTAAAGACAGGTCTTCCTGTGTCGAGATTCCCTACCTCAGCTGGAATAAAGTGTGAGTTACTGTGCCGGTTTTTATTATTTTTATTTTTTCTTTTCTTTTTTTTTTTCTTTTTTTTAATTTATTCATTCATTTATTTTTAATTTGACAGAGAGAGAGAGAGAAAGAGGGGAAGTGAGAAAGCAAGCCACCAGGTCCGGGACTCGAACCGTGGTCAGCCATGTGGGAGTGTCCAGCGCTTTAACCACCATGCCACCCGCTGGTCCCTTATTTTCTATTTTTAAAAATTTGCTGTAGGACACGTGCATTCCCCAAAGAGAGACAAAGACAAAGAGAGGAAAAGTGGGAAAGCAAACCACCAGGTCCAGGGTTTGAACCATGGTCGGATTTTTTTTTTTTTAGCAAAAAGTGTGTCCTCCTTTTTTTAGAGAAAATAATTTTTTTTTGTTTTAGAAAAATCTCTCTTAAACAGAAAAGATATTTTTTGCTATAGGGCATGTGTGCTTTGCCAGAGAGACAGACAGAAGGCAAGAAATCCCCACCCAAGGAGGCTGGCCACTCCACAATCCCTTCTCCTCCATTCACCTCCTGGAATTTTGGGCACGCACGCACACATGCCTGGTGGGAGTTTGAAGCCACCAGGTCCCAGACTCAAACCGTGGTTGCCTTTGTGGGTGTCCAGCAACGTAACCATTATGCCATCTCTCGGTCCCACAAACGTCTCTCCTAAACACACACACACGCACACACACAACTGTGAAAAAAAGGTACTACTACTATGAAAAGAACTCTGGTTTGGACTGAGAGCTTTATCCCACTTCAGCTAGGATCGGGTGCATTGGGTGACATTTTCTTTTTCTTTTTTTTTTTTTTTTTAAGAGGTTTTAGCTATAGGGCGCGTGTGCTCGCCAGACAGAGAGAGAGAGACAGACAGAAAGCGAGAAATCACCCCCCAGGGGGGATGGTCACGCCGCAATCCCTTCTCCTCCATTCTCCTCTCGGGATCTTGGACACGCACGCACACGTGCCTGGCTTGAGTTTAAGCGACCGGGTCTGGGACGTGAACCGCAGTCGACTACCTGGGGGTCCAGCGACATAGCCATTACACGGTCCCCGTTGGGCAACATACTAGCCACCCTGGGCACCTTCACCAATGACTGAGAAAGTGCCACAGAGAGTGATTTTGGAGCTTCCAGTAAGCCTTAGCTGACAGGCCCATTTGCAAATACGGGATCCAAGCAGAGCGAGGCCTCACTGTGCATGTGGGATTGTATTGACGCAGGTGTGTAGGTACGTACTCACACATTGAGGTGGTGCGAGAGGTGTGATCCGTCCACACTCAGTGAACCTTAAGATCCTCATCTTTGGCTCCCTGGAAAGTGCATGGTGAGAAGGAGTTAGAGGGCAGATGTTTTAATGGAAGAGATGGCTTTTAAGAGAGAAGGGGGCGGGGGACCAGCAGATGGTGCAATGTTTACATCAGTGGACTTCCATGTAGTCGACTGCAGTTCTAGTCCTGGACCCGTCGGTTTAAACTCAAGCCAGGCACATGTGCGTGCCCAAGATCCCGAGAGGAGGATGGAGGACAAGGGATTGTGGTATGGTCATCCCTCCTGGGGGGTAATTTCTCACTTTCTGTCTCTCTGTCTCTTTCTAGTGAGCAGACACCCCCTTTTTTTCCTGTCTTGAAAAAAATAAAGAGAAAAGGGGGCTTGACTAAGAAAGCGTCAAGACCACTGTGTTTATCTGATCAACTTTGGGCTAACCACAGGGCAAGCTCTGGAGCAAAGGTTGCCCGTTAGTTACGGAGAAATGGCCGTACTCAGCCGTTGCCCACCCAGTCAGGAAGAGCAGGGTGGTTTGCACCAGCCATCTTGAAGGGTGCTGGCCTGCCGTTAAGGTAGGGCAGTTTCTTCCCTGGCCTTTGCTGCAAGGATCTTCTTCTTACCCTGAAGCCACTCCCATGGCCTGCCAGAGCTCCTTGAATAAGACTGTGGACTGTAGTTTGCACCTTGCAGGGTCCGATGTGGTAGCTAGAGGGTGCTGGGGAGAGCGGGGGATGGCGTTGCGGCCAGTCAAGATGCCTTGTGTAAGTGTAAAATACACCAGATCCAAGAGCCAGCAGATGGCTTGGTGGTTAAGGCACTAGACTCCCACATGGCCGATCTTAGTTCGAGTCTTGGACCTGGTGGCTTGAAAATCAGTCTGGGCGCACGTGTGTGTGCCTAAAACCCCAGGAGAAGAGTGGAGGAGAAGGGATTATGGCATGGCCATCCTCCCTGGGGGGGTGATTTCTCACTTTTCCCCTCTCTCTCTCTCTCCAGCAAGCGCACATGCCCTATTGGAAACAAAGAAAAAAAATGCGTGTGTGTGCGTGTGCACGCACGTGTGTATATGTACATATACATACATATACCGGATCCCAAAGACTTAGGACAAAAAGAGAATGGAAAATATTTTACTGATAATGTATTATGTCATCAGAAAAGTCATGACATATTTTCCTTTTTTTTTTTTTTCTTTTGGAGAAGTTTTTGCTATAGGGCACGTGCGCTCGCCAGACAGAGAGACAGAAAGCGAGAAATCACCCCCCAGAGGGGATGGCTGCACCGCAATCCCTTCTCCTCCATTCTCCTCTCGGGATCTTTGGCACACACACACACACACACGCGCCCGGTGTGAGTTTAAGCCACCGGGTCCGGGACGTGAGCCGTGGTCGACTACGTGGGAGTCCAGCGACATAGCCATTATGCTCGCTGCTGGTCCCCTTTTCTGTTTTTCTATGTCGAAGTGTGTCAAGACTTCCCTGACGACCCAATAATACAGTTCCGATGATCCTTTGGAGAGAGGATCTCCTATTGGACATGGAGCAGCGTCTGAAGACTGGTTGTGAAGCCTGAGGGGAGAAAGGCCATACATCTAGTGGGTAGTGGCCAGGTGCTGTGGTGGTCTGCGCATACCCCCCAACCTCCTGCCACCTAGCCAGCCCCAACTGTCCACCGTGCCACCCTCCAGAAGCCATGGACTCGAGAGGGGGTGGATTTGAAAGTGGAGAAGCTGAGATAGTGGGGTTTCGGTTGCAGTTCATGCAGACAC